AGAGAGTGAAAGGGGGAGGAGGAGAGCTTGGATAAATGGAGTAGTAGATGCTACTACACCTTGGGTTTTATAATCTGCTATAATTATTACATGAAAGAAAACTACTGACCTATCAGTAACTCAAAGAATAGAAACATCTAATAGTGTATATAAGGAGAGGAGGTGCATGTACCCTTTTATATTACAAAAAAAAGGAGAGATTTTAGTTTGGGGAGGGGTGGGGAGGGCTACCCATTCCTTAAATCCTTTTTTTTTTTGGACTGATAGTTTAAAATGCGCTCAAATCAATCTCTACCATTAAGGTAGCTTTCTAAATTTGGAGAAAAGCAGAAATAAAATATTATCACTTCACATTTGTGTGAGTGCACATGCTGCTTTTCCCTCTAAGGGTGAAAACAGAGTCAGCTTTGTGCTATAATTTTTTTTTTAGGCAAGCAGATGTCCGTATCCCTTGTTGCAGCACACATGCCCAAAATTTGTGGGTGCAGCAAAGGTGATATAGTTTCTGCTGCTTTATTGTAGCAGATGTCTGTTTGCTTTTGGCGCAAAAGCATAGGCAGCCCAGGACTACCTCTATGCTCCAGCTGCCCCGGACAGACCCTCTTGGGGTTTGAAGGCCTCGATCCTACATCTCCCAAGGAATTATTCACAGGATGGAGTCTCTCAAGCTCTGGGACTGCTTGCCCTGTTTTCTTCTTTCAGAAATGCATCCTGGGCAATTTCTGGTGTCTCTGTAACTGAGGCGGCCTGGCTTTTCCTGCATTACAGAGACATCCTCTGGGGAATCTCCAGGGCTCTCCTCTAAGCCAGGAACACATTGCACATTGTCCTACTAGGTCCTTGCCTGATCAGGAACAATGGAGGATATGGGTTTTACCCAATGAAGTGGACCAGTTATGGCAGGACATGTCTTCCCATAGCTGATGGGCTTTATTTGTTAACATTTGTTTATACCCTAAGTTTATGCTATACTAACGCACAAACAGCATGATGAAAAGGACACCTGGTTAGACTGTTTCTTACACTGCTTCTGCCGGAATGCTTTTGCATATGAAGAGCGAGAGTGACGTAAGAGTAGATGTTTCTTTCTAGGCACACAGCAGACAGCTGCTCAGCTGTGGCTGCTTGAGCATGACTATGAGATTTTAAATGTTTTCTTGAAACCCATGCCAAAATTATTCATCATAAGAGTGAAGTATTAAAGACAGCCTAAAATTCATCCCAAATAAGGGTAATTGCCTTCAGAAAGAGACGTCTGGCTGATGTAGTTCACAGCAGATAGTTCTGTGAGTTGGGAGTGTCACAGCCATTGTGGATAACTTTCCATGACTGACTATCACCCAATGGGTTTTAAAATTGGGAGAGTAGAAAATGGTAGGATGGGAAACCTAAAGATACTCATGATATGGCACATGTGAAGGGAACAGATGTATGAAGTGCTAAAGATTTTCAGCTTCATTAAATAAAATTAAAATATTGGTTCCTTGAGTTATAAACAACATACGATTCAAAAAGCCATGCTAATTTGAGCTTTCTTCAGAACACAAGGGGGCAAGTTTATTTGTCTCCTCCTATGTCATAATCTGCTAGTTCGGACTAAAACTGACTTCTTAGGGAAAAATGTCTTTCGAAGCATTGTAAATTCTCTAATCACATGGTACGTAATCTGTTTTCTTTGCTAGGGAGATGCAAATCCTATGACAAGATTCAAGGCCCCTTGTTTTATCCACAGTAACTTTATAGAGATTTGATCGCACTGCGTTAGGATCCATTGTGAGAATGTGTTAGAGACTTGGATCTGACAACTTTTTCAGTGTGGGCAGACTGTTGCACCTGGGGAGAGCACCATAAAGGTATTACAGCCCTTTTGTACTTTCAGGCCCGGTGCCATTTCCTTATGGAAGGAACACCTGCCAGTTTCCTTTAAAAGAACCAAAAAAAAAAAAGTTCCCATCAGTCTGTTTGCCCAATATGGGGCATGTGTTTTATAGTCATGCTCAGTGTTGGCTGCATTTAATCAACTTCATAGTTCGCTTCCGTTGCTGAGCACATGCTGCTTTTTGGCAGTAGTTTGATGATAGACAGTGTATTTAATGAAATTTCCTTGTATTTGAATATAAGATGTGGGGCTTTTTTCCCCACATTGATTGGATGGGGGAAAAACTCAACTTGTATTTGAGTTAATGTGGTATGTTTGTAGGTCGGGGTAAAGGGAAAGAGCCATGGGCCTGCCAGCTGCAAATATAAAGTTGTGGGGAAGGAAAAGTTAATTTGGAGGTGAAACAAGTGTTTTGGGGACTATGGAAATTAGACTTTTCACCTGCAGACTAGAGTAAGAAAGCATCAGTTAATAGATTTTATTTTTGTCCCCCCTCAGTTGGACCCTACCACACCTAGCCATGAATACTAAAAAAATGCTAACATTGTGAGGTTATGAGCAAGAATGTGCAAGGTGTCATAAGCAAAAATAGGACTCCAACTGAACAATTCCTAGATTGATACATTCATACATAGACATAGGTATACTAAGATGTGTCAAGTTTGTGTAAAGAGATTTTTTCTGTCCTGCCAAGTAGCAAAAAAGAAAAGGACTCTTCAAAACAAAATTTTGGTAACATAAAAGGCAAGAACTACTAGTCCTTTAAGTAGACAGCTGGATTGCAACTGTTTAACTTCATTTTCAGAAATCTCATCTAAGTAGTTTTAGATGAGATATCTTGGAGTCCACATCTAAGTAGTTTCAAGTTAAAGTTTGCATCTAGGTTCTGTGGTCTGTTTTCTTCTTTGGCAGTCCCTTGCAGTTGAAGATGACTGTATCTAAGATTGTTTTACCTGTGGGTCTGAAGATGGCTAATGAGCCCAATCTGGAACTGACAGACTCTACTGCAGCTTGAGCACTTGTTTCTGTTGGGGTGGGTGGCTCCAGATTCTTAACTCAGTCATTAAAGAGCAGACTGTTCTGTGGTAGACTTGTACAGAATGCAGGGTTTTCCTTGAAAAAGCACAAATGTCAAGTACTCCATTTCACATAAGATAAGGTTATAAATAACAGAAAATGTAGTGGGTTTGAAAGGAGTTTCAAGACTAACGGTACCCACTAATGTCAGTTTAATATTAACACCAAATCATAAGTGTCTGTAGGACACTTACAAAAAAAAACTCAGACAATAGTGACCTGTTACATCTGCAGTATTGCCAACCCCACCATGTCAAAAACCACAAGACAAACTCTTAAAAATCAAGGGCTTTGAAATGTAAATCATGAGGTAGTGTTTTTGAAGTGTGTGGGGGGGAGGGTTGTGAAGGTGTGGGGGGCTATACGTGTGTGTGGGGGATTTGGAGTCTGGGAAGGGGGGTGGCAGGATGCAGGGTGCTGTGGGTCAGGAGTGAGGGACAGCAGCAGAGCTGGGGGGGCTGTGACTTGGGAGTAACGGACACACACACCCACCCATCCTCTGCCCATGGCTGTCTTGCATGACTCGCCCCTGCCCCATTCCCTCCCCCCCCCTTTACCTTCTTACCAGCTTGGCGCTCTCTACACGTGCCAGAATAAAAAATCCTGAGATTTGATTTCTCTATCAGGAGATGACGAGTCAGAGTTAATCAGACTTGGAAATCAGGAGTCTTGTGATTTTTTTTTCACAAGGGTTGGCATTATTGCATCTGTTAAAAATCCACATATTCCTTATTATAGAACATAATAAAAAGGGATAGATGGCAGTAGGCCTAAAACTGTGCACCAAGTTCTTTTGGTGAAAATGCATAGGAGGTTGCTTTCAGTTGTTCCTTAGTTTTGGAATGTCGTGTCCACCAGAGCCTAAACTTGGACATCTTGTGGAAGCATTGCAAGACCTTATTTGGGCAGGCTTTTAGCAAGTGGAGTTTCAGGTTTCATGGAATGATTTGGGGAATTCCTTTATCATTTACTTTTTTAATATTTTATCTGTTTTTAGTATCTCGTTTTCATTGTAAGCCACTCTGGGCATTTTTTTGTGAAGGGCAGTACATAAAACAAATAAATAAAAGGCCTTTCCATGATTTTCCCTGCAAAAATATTGAATATGACTGTAGACTTTATTACTTAAAGATTTAGTTATTATAAAAGGGCCTTAACTGTTGAATGGTGATCTGACATTCAGGGGAGCCAGTTACCTCTTTTCCCCCATTGGGTTTCTTATTGGGGAACTCTGATTCATCTCTAGCTTTCTGCCATGCAGGTGCAAGAACCTCTAGCCAGGCTCTTCCCTTATCCTGGGACTTTCCTGTTTGTTTTCTTTTCTAGAGTAGAAATGAAGTATGTGCAAGTTCTTGTTGGCCATTTCACTAACAAACTACAGGTCCCGGTTTTAAAATGCCCAAGAACCATATTTGGCACCCTGGGATGTGAATATACTGCACGTTTTCAGCACTCCGTGATGGGTATCAGTCTGCCCTCAGTCTTTGTGCAAACATTCTGTTGTCATGGCTGAAAGACCGTTGTTTGCCCCTAACTTTTAAAACCCGATCCATGGACTGGAACTAATAAGTCAGTTCAGCACACTCTGCTGAATGGACTTGATGTCTTGGATATAGCATAGAAAGCGTTGGTGAAAAGCATAATAAATGTCAAGTTAGGCTGCACAGAACAGGTACGCAGAGTAGATGAAATTCATAAGCAGAATTCCATCTTCTTTTTTTATGATGGTGCCTTTGCATAGTAAAGTTTTGCATTGCAAAACTTCTATGTTTTGTTTTTCAGAGTTTCCAAAGGTGGCCACCATTTAATAAGAACTGTGTACAGATGGGGAGGTGGGTTTTTTTTCCCCCTTTGCTGTTTAAAATAAGGCTTGATTTGGTGGTATTGAATTTCAGAGAAGAAGCTATATTTGATCTATCGCTTGTGGATGTTTATGACTCCAGTAAAGAAGCGCAATCACACTGAAGGCCAGGAAGAATCTCTCTGTTAATAGTTCTTCACAAAATTGACAACAGCTTTCTCTCTTTTGTTACAGACTCAGCAATTTCTTGTCTGGGCGTTGATCACTATGGGGAGTGGTAAGTGTATGTTGACATGGTGCTGAGCATGTGAGCTTGCTATAATTATTCTACTTTGTTTCAGTGTCTGTTAAACAAATACAAGTTCCCCACCCCCGTCTGAAAAATCCTTCATCATGTTCCCACTTGGAAATAATAGAATACCCTTCTGGCATCATTGTCAAGTGAATACTAGAATAGCAGGCACATTATAAACTCATTTATGGAGGTTTAAGTGTTGGTTAACATTGGTCTCTGACTTGATTTAAAGATGGACTAAATTTCCTCTATTGGATACTTTAATCGAATTGTTTCTAACCTTGGCACAATAACTCTCTTAAACAGGCAATTTCATTTTCTCTAAATTTTGGGTTTTTTCCAGACAAAAAAGAAATGAATGGAGATAAACTGCTTAATTTACCTTCTAGAAATTTTGCCCTGTCTTTCCATGAACTCCTTTGAATTTGCCAGGCTAAACAGACAAAATTCCCAAGAAACTCCAAACTTTACATAAATATGCATTATGATAACATCTTGGAGCACAAGCCATTTTCAAACTTTTATACCTAAATACATTCTGGGTTATTTCATCAGGTTTATTGTCTGCTGCAAGTGACCAGGGGTAGTGAAATGTAGGGGATAAGATCTGTATTTTGATGATAGTCTTGTGGTTAGTCAAAATGGAGTTTCTGCCTCTCCACTCCGGCCTCCTCTTTTTTGTCCTTTCCTTCCTCCTCCTGCCCAGCACAAAACCTCCCATCTTCCTATCCCTATTTCTGATCATTCTGTGCTTTCTTTACATACAGGTCCAATGCTCACCTATCATTTAATCATATAAAACATGTGCACATAAATGTTTAAAGGTTGGGTGGGTGAAATTTGCCTGTCATTGAAAATGAGTGCAGGTTTCTGGGACACAGTAAAATACCATGCAAACAAAGTAAAGAAATAAGCAGCAAAGTTATTCAGTGCACACACTAGCCATCTACTTTACATATAACAATTCCCTTTTTAAATCTTGGCTAACTCATTTCTACCATCTGCATCTCTCATATGTCTACTGAAGAGCAGCATGCCTTTTAATGGGATATTTAAAAAGAACACTTATGCCCCAGTTATTACCTGTAGTATGGATAGTTAGGTAGTAACCCTAAACTGGTGTGGATATTTCTGCAAATACTGTAAGAAACTGCCTTTAAAGAAATGAACTGTATGATGTTTGTACACATAGCTTTACACGGACCTACAATTTTGTCAGCCTGACTAATTTTGTTGGTGTCAGTTTAAGCGATGACTTGGATGTATACACTATATTCATAATTTTAAGGATTTTCATACAAGCCGGAACCCAACTGCTATTCAGCAATGTAAATGTATCTAATTAAACTTTCAGAAATGTGTGCTACTTAACATTTATTTTCAGCAAGTGGCAGACTTCACAGAATTCTGCTATAGATGTCTGCCTGTTTCTGAGTCTCACCAGGATCAACATTTCCACATACTGGTTCCTAGCATGCACTGCTCTTGTTGACAGGTCTTTGATGTACAGACATACAGTTTGGAGAGCAGGTGAAAGTAATCACTCTGCTTCAGTTGGCATAATTTGAACTATGGGACTCTTTAACACATAGTGACTTCATACATCTTGCTGTGTGGAAACTTTCAGATAAATAAGACATAAAGCAAAAACTACTTTTAATGTTTTAATAATTTATGGATAGCACATTTGCTTGCTTTTTATAGTGTTTGTTTTCCATCCCATTTTGATTCATAATATGAATAGATATCATGGTACTGATTTTTTAAATTTTTTTTTGTACCACTCGTTTCCTTGGCAGTCAACAAACAAATACAACTGATGTTATTGTTCCCTTTAACAATATCAGTGGTAATACACAAAGAATGATTTTAAATGCTCCATTTATAGTGTGCTCTTACATTAAAGCCCTTAATGTTATGTATTACATAACACACTGAGTGCTGCAAGGAAGTGCATTTGAGAATGAGATAAGGATTTGAGAAAATGTGACTATAGGAAAGCACCAGGTTTTGTTGGTAATTATAAAATTCAAATATATACACACAAACTTCAGTGGAAGTTGGCAAAACAAATCTATGATAATAATATTTTTCAAACCAAAAGCAAAATGGATTTATTTTTATTTAGTTTATTTAGTTCTGTTTGTATCTGTGGATAGGTTGTGTAGCACCAAAGCAATTTTGATTTTTTTCCCCCTTGTCCACAAAAAAACTGATCACAGAGTTTTACAGTGTCCACTTCACTTACAGTATTCTCTATTTTACTTTATTTAGTCCTTTCTCTTTAGCTATGCTTGCTGAGACCCCAGTGCTAGACTTCCTTGTGTTTTTCCCCCTTATCTGTTTTGGGGATTGTCTTAACTAGTAGAGGAAGACATGCAGGTGGCAAATATTTACCTGGTTGTGACAGACAGATTGTGGTTTGCATGACCACAATTGCTAGTTGATACTGAAACAGACAATAAGCATTATCATAATGCATCCCTCCCAGGACTTCTATAGAAGGAATATTAGTGCCATATTTGTAAAAACAAAAAAACAAACCAAGAAAACAGCTTTTGGTAATTGTTTCCATCCAGAAAAGGAAGCTATAACTTGTGCAAATCTGTTAACTTCCTCCCTATAATCCAGTGACTGATATTAGAACAAACGCACACAAAACCACCCGCACAACTACCGTTCATATTTTCCTTTTTGTATCCTGGCGATCTTACACTTTCCGGGTGATGCCTTCCCATCAAAGCAGTTCTAGGTTTTCTAACTCAACTGCATGCTGTTGTTATCTTGAACACTAATAAAAGCTGAAGTGAACTCAATTGCATTTTCATTTAAAATATATGAAGCATCACACACAGAAAGATTATTTATGGACTTGTATACCATTAGAGTAGCATCTCTGTTCAGTGTTAGTGGTCATGGAAAGCTAATATGGCCAAATGGTTCTAGAATACAGTTCCCTTATCTATTAAGAGAAGTCAGTGGGCACTGACTGATTCTCAGTTGATTCTGTATTTCCTGGAGAATGGTAAACTTTAATCAACATTGCTTTGACAAGAATAATGCCTTTTCGTGTGGGACTGCTGCATTTGAATTGATTCCTAAAGAAGAATTAGATGTACATAATCCAATAGTCTCTGAACTCATTAAGAGTCTCTGCAATCATTAAGAGTCTGAGATTCTTAATGATTTTTTAAAAATTTCTGTATTTGATCAGATCATTTTGCTTCATTCTGTTCCAGCTTCTAGTGTCAGTGACAATGTACCGTATGGACTAGTTGTTTCATTTTATATATGTCAGATGAAAAAATCTTCAAGGCCAATAAAGCATCGGGTTTGTGCTTCCTAATTAGCTTTTAAGCATAATTAAAATACAGATTCTTGTACTATAGTGGGAGAAAGGAGAGTTTTTAAAATTTAAATTAAGCTAAATGTTCTTTTCAAATTAAAAAAAAAGGTTTTTCAGTATTTAAAGAGACATGCATTCACCATTCATGACTATTGGCTTATTCTAAACTCACTTCTTTGTTGTTAAACTAGAAACAAAAGTAGTATTGTATGTTGTGTGTTAAGTGAAAGGTCAGTCTTGCAATACTTGCTCATTCTAGAATATGAAATTGTTGCTTAGAAACTAGTCTAATAGTCAGTAAATGAATATCTAATGAAAATACCAGATCTTAGATCTTTGACCTTAATGTACTACTTCAGTGGTAAATTAGAGACTGTTGTATAAATCAGGACTTGCAGTGTGTCCAGGATGCTTCAGCCTTGATTGCAAGTCCTTCAGCCACCTGCATTTCTAACTACTGTCCTATTCCAAAGCTTTTCTAATACAGCTCTTCCTACTGCCATTTCTAAACTAAAATCCCTTTTAAAATCTCTGGCAAATGAAAAATAAACATTTATTTAAAAGTTAATCATAATGGTTTAACATACTTTGCATGCATATTAGTAGGGGTCTTAGGTCATGGACAGGCATTACATTTGTGTCTAGAAAAAGTACCTTTTTCCTGGCATAACTAATGAGTGTACAGGCATTCAAGGGGATCCACTAATTCCCACTACCTCTTTAACGGTCTTGGGTTCCCCTGGGACTGTTAAAGGTGCAGCAGGCATCCTCCCCCTTGCCCCCCCACCACTCTTTCAGTTCTGGGCGGACCTGAGGGAGGCGAGGGTGAAGATAGCAGTTTTTCTTACCCTAGCCACCCCTGCAGGGTAAGGGCCTGTCTTTAGCAGTTGCCAGCTAATCACTGACAGTCTGTTCCTTTCCCTGGCTGCCTGTCAGTGCTGGGCAAGACAGGCTGTCAATGATGGAGCTTCTCTGGGCAGCAGGATCCAAGGAGTAGTTCTATATCATCCCCTGGCTGGAGAGCTTGCTTCTGAGGCATCTGTTTCAGCCAGGGGGTTGAAACACCCATATGACCTCTGCAACATTATTTTTCTAGCACCATGCAAGAGTTGGGGGAATGGTATCTTTTATTGGACCAATTGCATGGTTGGAATAAAATTAGACAAGCTTTTGAATGCAATACATTCTTCACTAGATTGCTAAGAGTTTCTTGAAAATCCTCAGTGCTGCAACTGAATGCCTGGCCATAACCTTAGAGTTGTGTGACTGATTCTTAGGCCCATGTACTTAAATAATCCACCAGAACTCATCTGTTTCTCAGATCAACAAATAGAATTTACTGCCTTCAGCCATCAGTCCCATCTCTGGCAATTGTACGTACAAGCTATAACTATGTAAGCATCTGCCACCTGATCTAAAACCATACGTCAATTAACTTGTAGAAGTAATAGGTCATTACACTTTCACAAGGACTAGACTTTAGAGGAAGACAAAAAAGCACACTCCTCTAGTGTGGTCTACTTTTCTGCAATCTGTATTCTTTATAGGGAGTTTTTAAATGGTTAAAAGCCAGTAAAACTGCATGGAGATGACAAAGAAGGGGAACAGAAACTAGCCCCTTCAAATTGACTTGATA